AGGAAGTATTTATTATTATGCTAAAGAAAAAAATGTTGTTTCAATTAAATGCCTTGTTAAGAAAAACAGAAAGAGCTTGAGCTAAAATCAAGTTGGGCCTGAACTTCGGCTCAACTGTTTGTGAATCTAGCAGTGTATGTATGTAGTTAGACATTTTTTACATAGGTGTATGTAATTCAGATAGATTATTGTGCGCGTATCCTTAATAATTCAGAACAGTTATATTTTTATGATAACTATACTCGAAGGATTTGGTATTCCCGACGAAAACACAGGTCAGGATTTGGTATTCCCGATGAAAAAAGACAGCTCGGCGTAGGGATCATATTTTTGTGTGAGTATGACATGCATACTTAGGCCACTTCTGCCTAGATGGTGTATATCACGTTAATGAATGACCACAGACACGTCGCCAGAATAATTATTTTGGATAGGCACAGCCTGGGCCAGTATTTTTAAGGGTGGGTAAATAAATCACTTTTTTTTTCTACCTAGTATTTATTATGTATGTTGTATGTTATAATTAAGTACTACCATTGTGTACTGGGTGGGCCCTGGACCATCCAGGCCCACCCCTAGCAACGTGCCTGAATGAACAAAAAAATTTGACCATCACTCATTCCATAAGATCAAAACTGTTTCTTTCTCTGCTATCCCAAAAGTAAATAATATTCATTCATTTATTATTTTTTTGACTTACTTGATCATATTGGCTTAAAGCAGCTCTGTTCAGTTCCTCAATTTTACGTTTGGTTTCTATTTCAATATTTGCTTGTGCATCCTCCCTGGTACCCACATGCTTATTTATGTAATCTTTAAATTGTTGATCTCGTTCTTTTCGAAATTGCTCAATTTCATCTTCTCCTTCCTCTTTAGCCTGTCTCAGCCTCTTTGCTTTACCTGTAAAAAGATGCACAATTGCTATTTCAAATTAGACCCCCAGTTGCTAAATCTCATTAATAATCCACAAAAAAATATCAAATATCTTTCACTGATTGCTAGTAATTCGAAAAGAAGGAAAAAAAACCAAAAAGTGAGATTTTCATTGTTCAGCAATAACTTGTTTTATCTACCGGGTGACACAGGAAACATGTAACACCCCGTAGCATGTTTATTTAAAAAGATATTATTTTGAAATTTGGTACACTTATATAATGCGTGATTGTCCTTTTTTAAGTACAAAAAATTTTTGTCCACCACTTGCGGTTTTACCGGAAGTGACATCTACTCTGTTATTTTAAATGGCACCCTGTATATTTTTTTTACCTATCTGATTCGTCTCTAGATTCTTTTTTCAACCATGTATCGGAACATGGCATTTGTTTTTAAAATGACAGTTAATATCAATTTTAGTTTATTAAGTCTAGGTGGCCCTGATATGAACCTTGGCAGATATTGATGCGTAGTGTGCCGTGATATCGAAAGACCCCTGGCAAGCAACTTTGTGCCTCATATTTTTTTGGGAATAACCAGTAGCTGAACAGACTAATAAGATCTAACTTATTTAAAAAAAAAATATCTTTAAACAACCCACGATATCTTAAAAACCAAGATAGGAACCCCATTTTTTTACTTCACCTAGTTAAAAAATATTTATTTATCTTTTATTTTTGTCCAATACAATTGCTGTGCCTATCATATTTTGCTTTCTTCATTAAAATTAGTATCGAATGTTATTGCATAGTAATGAATATTGTACTGCAACAAAAATATTTAGTAAGCAGGCGGTGGAAACAAAAGAAGGTAAAACGACGCGTCATTTTGATTTGACAATTAAGAATTGTTTACTTGGCAGCAATTTAAGTATTTTTCATTAAATTATACCTAAGTTATCACGTTTTAAACTCTATTTTGCCATGTATTCACGAAATGAAAAAGTAGATATGCTACTAATCTATGGCGAATGAAAAAAAATAGCAGGCAGGCTGCTGTCTTATATGAAGAAAGATTTCCCGAAAGAATTCATCCACCAAACAACTATTTTGTAGGAGTTGAACGGTAATTCAGAAGTGAACCAGAAGTACCGGAAAATAATTTCATTATCGATGAAGACTCAATGTACTTGCAATTGTCGAGGTAGATCCCACGATTTCGATAAGACAGATTGAGGACCAAACTGGTGTAAATCGGGAATCAGCTCGACGCATTTTGAAAAAAACATAAATTTAAATCATACAAGTACCAAATACACCAGCATTTATACGAAAATGATTTTCAAAGAAGATTGAACTATTGCAATTAGTTTCTGAACAGACACAATTTGGATAATAATTTTAATGAACAATTTTTATTTTCCGATGAGTCTAGGTTCACTAATTTGGGATTATTCAATCGTAACAACACCCGTTATTGGGCACAAGAAAATCCCAGAAATATGAGAGAAAGTGCATATCAGGAGCGATTTAGTTTTAATGTATGGTTAGGAGTAATTGGCAGAATTATTGGGCCAATAACTTTTGATGGTCCATTAAATGGAGAAAGATATTTGGGATTTTTGCAAAACCAGATACAAGATTTTTTGGAAGAACTGCCTAATGTTAACCCAATAATTTTTCAACAGGATGGGGCTCCACCACATAACAGCAGAGTTGTGGTGAATTATTTAAATGAAAGGTTTGGAGAAAACTGGATGGGAACAAATGGGCCCGTTCGATGGCCTGCAAGGTCACCAGACCTTACGCCGCTTGATTTTTTTGTATGGGGCCACCTCAAGGAAAACGTTTATAGGACTCCACCAACAAACAGAGAAGACATGGAAATGAGAGTCAGAAGAGCAATCGATGGGATTACTGAATTACAGTTAGATAACGTGCTTAGGGCTACCGTCACAAAAACGCGATTGTGCAGAGATAATAACGGACAACATTTTGAACATCTGTAGTAAAAAAATGTTTTTTGTATGTAGTACTTCAGTAAATATTTTATTTTAATTTCATTCATTCGTTGTAAACATGTATTACATAGTGTAATGGTTTTTCATCAATTTTCTTCAAATGTGTTTTACTGATGTTTCCTATTTATTAAAAAAATCGTTTTACCTACTTTTATTTTGTTTCCACCGCCTGCTTACTAAATATTTTTGTTGCAGTACAATATTCATTACTATGCAATAACATTCGATACTAATTTTAATGAAGAAAGCAAAATATGATAGGCACAGCAATTGTATTGGACAAAAATAACAGATAAATAAGTATTTTTTAACTAGGTGAAGTAACAAAATGGGGTTCCTATCTTGGTTTTTAAGATATCGTAGGTTGTTTAAAGATATTTTTTTTTTAAATAAGTTAGATCTTATTAGTATGTTCAGCTACTGGTTATTCCCAAAAAGTTGCATGCCAGAGGTCTTTCGATATCACGGCACACTACGCATCAATATCTGCCAAGGTTCATATCAGGGCCACCTAGACTTAACAAACTAAAATTGATATTAACTATAATTTTAAAAACAAATGCCATGTTCCGATACATGGTTGAAAAGAGAATCTAGAGACGAATCAGATAGGTAAAAAAATATACAGGGTGCCATTTAAAATAACAGAGTAGATGTCACTTCCGGTGAAACCGCAAGTGGTGGACAAAAATTTTTTTGTACTTAAAAAAGGACAATCACGAATTATATAAGTGTACCAAATTTCAAAACAATATCTTTTTAAATAAACATGCTACGGGGTGTTACATGTCTCCTGTGTCACCCGGTATAAGAATTAATTTTTAAATTCTGTACATACTTATTATGAAGTGTGTTATGTTTTTGAATTAGGGAGAAAAATACTGTCGAATGGTGTAAAAGTACAATATGGGGGCCACATAAGAAAAAAATGAATTTGCTATGAATAAAACAATAGCCGACATGAAAAAAAATTTAAAAATATTAAATCTAGAAAAATATTGTGAAAAGATTGGCTCAGCGATATTGGGCCAATATTAATCTATACAGGGTGTTTGTTTCATAGGGATATGTACATACGTTAACTGTGGATGTGGGACACCTAGGTGGTTCCAAATAACCCATGGTTAATGGGTCTAACAATCTTCATTACCAAGATACAGGGTGTTTTATCGATTTTGCATATTTGTTTCTTAAGCCACAGTATACGAACTATTCTGTATAAAAATTTGATATTCGGTAGGTATGTTTTACTTACTTTATTGAATCGATTAACGTATTAATCAAAGTGGAAATACAGGTCCAGCTTTATAAAAAAATATCAATTCCATATCCAAAAACAACAGTCTGTATAATTAAATTTTGAAAATCTGTTTAGACATTTGAAAGCAGCGGAAAAGAATAAACTAAATAGTATACGTTCTATATTTCCGCATTTAATTCTACAAGTTTTATTATTTAACACAAATTCAGTTTTATAGGAAATTACATGAGGTAAAATTTAAAAAACCGTATTTATTGTCAAATTAACAAGATTACTCACCTTTGAATAATAACTGAAACGCCAAAACATGTTGCTTTAATAATAATAATAATAATATTTATTCACCAATATCAAGATACATAATAATGTACATTTGGCAAGTCAACAAAGAATATATAAAAAAATAAAATAAACAAAAGTGTATAAATAAAAGAACAAATAAATATAACAATGTCAATTTGACACAAATGTCAGTAAAACATTAAAACAATATACAGACTAAAATATATGTATACATAAATAATAAATACAATAAAATAAGAATATGTAAGAGTATGTAGTCATTTTAAATTAAAATAGGTTGAATGAGATAGATTTTATTGATTTTAATAAATAAATAGTGTCATAAAAGTATTCGAAAAAGAAATTACAAGTTCTACCTTAAACCAAAATACTATAATCATCGTTTCAAACGCCCTGCATATTTTAAAAATGAATAAATATTCACTTAATGGGAAAACAAGCATCCAATAATATGAGTAAATTACTTTATTCTCTTTACGCTTCAAATAAACCCATGTACCAATGAATTATATGAATTAAGTGTAGGCAAATGGAAATAGAAACTGTTCAGTGGTTGAGTGCTTATACGTTAGGCTTGAGACCAAAGGGTCTCTGGTTTGAATCCTGGCTAGGGCAAGATGTATGTGGCCTTTTTAAAATACCGAGACGGTAGTACATCTGGCTAGTGTTGTTCTGTGGCAAAACACGGCTAGTCACGGTCTATATCTACTGAATGAGGGCTACCGCGCTTGAATTCACCAAGAGAGGTACTAGTGTACGGAAAGGTCAATGTCACTGAACGTTAATGTTTACTATGGCTTTTTAACACTAGTTTTTAGTAATTTTTATAAAAATTAGCTGAAAAACATTTAACACAATGATGACAGAAGGGGAAAGTAGTAATTTACTTGCTCAGTAGGGAAATTATTGTACTTATCAGAGGTGTCTTATGTCATTAAAGTGAGGTTATATCAAGAATGAGCATGATGAAAACGAATGTACATGATTATTACTCACGATTTTCTATAGTAGACTCCTTTGGTAACGCATAATCGTCAGGATTAAAGTTATCTCTATCAACCACTATTTTAGGTGAGTTTTATCTCTCGGAAGCATATCCGCCTTTTGTTTCCGAACAAAATGGAACTGCACAACACTGAGGCATAATTAACAAGTTTTTTTTATTTACTGGTGTACGAAATAATTATAATAAAACCCTATAAACTTTTCCCGCGCCTAACAATGACATGACCTTACTCGGCCAGTGACGCCAACTGGTGAGCCTAAAAACGTTAGCCCTCAATCGAGTCTTATCTGCAGCATCTGACAAATATGAGAGGTAATGAGATGTTTGTTATGGTTGAGTGGTGGAATGTGCTAAACTCCGTCAGGAAGTTAATATAAATAAGCCGTTAAAAAAAAAAAAAAATAAAACCATGGCTTTAACCAAAACGTAAACACAATAAGGTTATTTATTCATATTGTATATGCTTCTTTTCCCATTTATTTACCTATAATCATTACACACAGGTATTTAATACTATTTTTAAATTTACGTTATGCGGGGTGTTTGACATGATGATTAATATTTTGATTTATGTTCGGACCTATAATTTTCTTCTGAAATACTTTTATGACACTAAAGCAGCATGATAAGGAGGATTTAGCATTTTAATTGCTTAAAGTCCAGTAATCTTATTAATTAATTTGACAGTAAAAATAGCAGTGGCGTATTCGACGTTGACCCATAAGGGGGATATACAGATATAAAAAAAAATGTTGGCTTGGCTCTGAATAAATATAGTTGTTACTTTCTATTTGCGGTTTTTATATATAGTATGTGCAAAAAACATTAAAGTACAATTATTAAAGAACATGAAAAAAAACACGATATTTTTAAAAGAATTTTTATTCAACGAAAAAGAAATTATGAAACAAAATCCAGGCGCTGTGGTTTCTTCGTTAGTCAATTCAGTCAATATTGATTGCATTTTAATAAAACTTGATTATATTCACTACTTCAGAACTCTTAGTAATTGAAACTAAAAATATTTGCGAAAAATACGCGATCAAAGAAAATTACACCATTGCCTAATGCATAGCCGCCGCGGCTAAGCTGCTAGGCATACACCGACTTAGAGCCCGGAAGATTCTGGAAACCGACCAGCCAATATAGATAACTATGTCAACGGGACGTAAAGGTAAGCGCAGACTGACGCACGACGAAAAAAAAACTACGTTCATTTAAAACAACGTAAAGTATATTTTTTTCAATTCCTACTGTGCATGCGGCACGTCGGCACAGATCAATCTGCGCTTACCTTAACAGTGCATAGTATATGTTATAGAAGTAATCATATAAGCTACTAATTTTTTATGTAGAAGAGAGAGAATCACGAGGTTTTCTAATTTAAAAGAAAAAGTCGGCAGCTTATTTTATAAAATTTTAAAAGAAAAAATCGAATGAATGATATTTGAAAGAAATTTGAAAAATAATAAATTTAATTTAGTAATAGTAAATAATATAAATTTAATAACCCTAAAACGTTCTACGAGTTATAATTCTTTCTGCTTTTTTTCTTAGTTGAATTCGATAAAAAAATTATCAGTGCCTTTGACCCTTGGGGGATATATCCCTCATATCCTCCCCTTGGGTACGTCACTGACAAATAGGTTTTTAAATTGTACCTCGTGGAATCAAACTTGTAGAATTAACTGCGATGTAGAAAGTATGCTATTTAGTTTATTTTTCCGCTGTTTTCAAATATCTAAACAGATTTTCAAAATGTTGTTTTTGGAATATACAAAACTAATATTTTTTTATGAAGCTGGACCTGTATTTCCACTTTGGTTAATATGTTAATCAATTCGGTAAATTGAGTAAAAATCAAATTTTTATACAGTGGTTCGTGGTTAAAAAAAAAATAGGAAAAACTGATAAAACACCCTTCGAAACACCCTGTATATAACTGAAAACCTGTCATTCATCATCCACTTTTAAGGGATTGTAGCTCCATTATATTGCATTTTAAAATAATATACATTTAATAAGCAATATGCTCTATTTTTTTTCTAGCAGCCTCTGAAGTTGGCACACTATTTGTTGATCACCCTATAAAAAGGCCGTACGTCGTCTAAAATTTTGAAAATGTTCGATTATAAATTTTTCGATTTTCCAAATATTTATTTAAAAAAATATTTAATATCAATTTTATTAATTTTTACTTATATATTTGACATTTTCAGCAAATTTTATGTTTGAAATATTGAAATAATTTAATCTTACTGGTTGGTGAGAATGCTTGCAACTATTGAAATGTGATAAAAATTGATTTTCTTTTAATATAGTGCAAGCAGTTTTTATAAGTAGCTAACTTTAAAAATTTAATTTTTTAGTTTGTAAGGTTTATTCAATTTGTGTAGGTAGATACTTTGATATTTTTATTGAGAAAAATATACAAAAAAAATATCTTACGTCTCCGTGCTGCAGATACCTTATCAGTTGCACGCTTTTCAGCAGCTAAGAGTTGCAGAATACCCTGTGTTTGGGTCTGAGTCTGGTTTGCCATTTTTTTTTCTATAAACTTTACTTCACTCGAGGCTTAACTTTCGATTAACTGAATTTCAACTATAATCGGAACGGCCTCGTACTTTAAGTTTAAGACAATAAATCTGTCTAGTTCTCACACTGAGGGATAATAAATTAGAATAAGGATTGCTTAACTCATGAAGCAATATTTACCAAATATTCATATCACATGTATTCCCGTTTTTCATACATGCTCTTTATTTTTTTTATTTTTCTTTAATTTCATGCCATTTATCCAATTTAATTTTAGTAAAATTATGTATTTTAAGACCTTTGTGCTACTTGGAATCATGGATATTGTGCGCATTTCTAAATATTTTTATTGCTATATAAATATTTTATGTATATACCTATCATTAATATCCTGCGGAAATATTGCCAGGAACGGACTAGTATCATTTTGCCTACGGGAAAACATAAAAATATTTGATTTTGAAACATTTAGACGCAAATAATCCTATACTCGAAAAGGCCAGCTAACATAAAAATAAAAAAACAGTGGAGGCCAATGCGGGAGCATAACTATACACAGGGAATTTGGATACCATGGTGTAACAGGGGCAAATTGAAAACAGGAACAGACAGTAGAATAAACGTATATTAACTTGTAAAATTCTTTACACAACAGCTCCCCCCTGTTTCCGCCTTTGTTTGTCTCCGCTAATCAACGTTTGCTGTTTTTTCAACCACAGTCTAATGTACATCACTGTTTGTGAAGACGCGGGCTGCCCCGCCATTTTTTCTTCCACTAACGCACTACAACTAAACAGAAAATATCGAATGTCTTTATACTTGCCGTACACACAACAGATCTCTAGCTTGAAAGTTCTAGACTGAATAAAGTTGCTAAATGGTGTAAACCCAACCGGGTTTCGATACGCAAGGTCAATAGGCAGGTAGTCAGTACAGCTGTGCTTCGCTTGTGGACCAAAACAATATTTGCCCTTAACTATATAAATAAAATTTGTAATGTATCATACATATGTACATTATTATAGTTTCTGCAATTCCCGTTTAACCTGTGCTGCTGCGCACTTCCAGCTGCCATGAAATGAATCATACATTATGTTCATTACTATAGTTTATGCAATTCCCATTTGGCCTGTGCTACCGCGAACTTTCTGCCGCCATGAAATATGAGACGTCACTAGGGCCACCATTTTGGTAATTAAATCGCCGCAGCAGAGAAAATCATTCAGATTACATACAGCGCGTTAAGATTGGCCCCAAACAATGCACTATAATTCATAAAACAAAAAAAAATTATTAACTAAAAAAGTCAGTGTACAGAGACCATGTGGTAGGTGATTGATTGTTTGTACACAAGAAAAATTCCAAAAAACCTGCTCAAAATAATGATTTTTTTTATTTTGAAAATAAAAATTGACTTTATGTCCGCGATGGGGTTTGGAGTAGGGAAGGCGTGAATTCCCGGATTTATTCTACAATGGTGCCACAATAATTTGTAAGGTGTGCAAGACAGACCTGATGTGCTGGGACAAATATGACTGTAAACGTCACGTAAATTCTGTACAACATAAAACTAATAAAAATGGTGCGTCTTTGACAGCACGGTTTATGTTCGATTTACTCTTAACGCTGATTGCCTGTGATGATCCACTGCACATACTCGATAAACAACCATTTCAGGAGTTCTGGAATAAATACAATCCCAAGGTGACGTTACCAAGTCGCACATCGTTTCGTAACTATGTACCAACTCTGAGCGAAGACATTATAAATAAGATCAAATATGTACTAAAAAAATATACTGCTGTGGTTATGTGTTGACGAGACGGTAGATTGTAAAAAAAAATGATATCTTAAATGTTATAGAACGTATCCGGTCCCTCTTAAACCGACACTTCTACTATACTGGCCAAACAATTACGCGGGTGGTGCTTTAGACGTTAGAAAAATTTGACATGTGAAAATGTCAAGTGTTGATGTTTGTGACCGATGGTGTAGGCAGTTCTCTTCAAGAAGACGGTCGTAGGTTGGTACCATAGACATTAAAGAGGGGAGAACGCTCTTTGCTTACTTCCCGC